ATTAAGGCTTTATTATTCTCAGACCATGTGGCTATATAATTAGATAATTAGATAATAATACTAATAACTAACATTTATGGAGTAACTTATATTTTTCTAAGCACTTGCACATCCATTATCTCATTAGGTGCTCAAATGTGCAGAGATTAAATTTGTAGAGACAGAAAGCTGCAGTGTGGTAGGGAACAGGCACTCTGAAGCCAGACTGCCTTGAGAGCACCAAACCCCACCACCAGCTCTGCAGTCTCAGTGAGTGGGACCTCCAGGTCTGTCACCACAATTAGGGATGAGGGTACCTTCCTCCCTGGAGTCTTGTTAACATTCAATAGGTTAATAGACGTCAAGTGCCCAGGGCAGTCCCTAGAACTTCGGAAGTGCTCAGTGGAGAGTAGCTGGTATTACTGTCATCATCATCATCATCATCATCATCATCTGTGCTTTCACCAATGGAAGGTGGACTAGAGCCCAGGACTGCTGAATTCTAAATAATGCCTTGGGAATGCCATACGGAAGGCCTCTAGCATTTTCTGTATTATTGCAAAGAATGTAGTCTAGTTAAGGTTTCCTGTATTCTAGGACTGGTGTTCAGCTAAAGAGGAAATAATTAGTAATTCTAGATGAAGACTCAACAACATGAGTACACATGATTATGAATACCATAAAATATCTAGTTCCTTTCAGAAGAAATTGTCTTTCTCAGTTTGGCTTATTTCACTTAGCATAATATTTTCTAGGACCATCCAGGTTGTCCCAAAGGGTAAGAGATCCCTCTTTTTTACAGCTGCATGGAACAGACTGACATAGCTTAATGTGGGGGTTATGGCGGAACAAGAAGAGCTAAACCAAAGAACTTACATACATATATACATAGGCCATAGAAATGGGCAATAAAGTAGTGAATAGCTAGGGGGTGGGTAGAGACTGGGAAGAGGGGGAGCAAGAAGGGGCAAAACTGGAGATATCTGTAATACTATCAACAATAAAAATACATTAAAAAAGGGAGAAGAAATTGTCTGTACATGGTAGTGAATGTGTTATTACAACCTGCACGTGAGTCTCAACTTCTACACAAAAAATTAACATGGTGATCTTTTCATGTGCTGAAATTAGTCTCCTCCCACTAATGATGGACCCCGAGTTTCTCCTAAGTCAGCACCCAGATTCTGGAAGGAGAGGTCCCTCGGGGAAGTCCCACAGTCTGAGGGGTGAAAATTTCTCTTGCAAACAAACTGATTTCTATGCAGGGATGGATTTTCAACCTCAAATGCTTATGTGTGTGTGTGTATGACCTAAATAGTGCTTTGATGTTTAATGATAACAACTTCTGGACTTGAAGACAGAAGATGAGGATCCAAGTCTCATCTTCATTTTACCAAGTGTGGGACGCTGGCTGACTTCTCCACAACTCTAACAATAAGGGAAAAGATACAAAGGTAGTTTTTTTTTACAGATTGTTATGTGGTCTGTAGTCACTTCATATATTTGAAAGCATGATGAGACATTAGTATTTCACTCCAGTTTTGCCCAAGGTGTTTTTGTAGGATCATTGGCAGGTTTCATGGCCCTCAACTCTATAGCACCCTTAGAATTTCTCCCCTCTGTCCAACTGAGACTAGTGTGTTTCAATCAGATCAAGGACACATGCTGTCTGGAGTTTTATCAGTTTATTAAAAAATGGCTTCACTTTCTCTTCCTGGCCACTGGGCTGAGTTATTTTGAGCAGATACTTGAGTTCAGCTTTGTCCAATGATGTGTAAGGTTCACAATGGTCAAAGACATCACTGTGACCAGGTCAGTGTCTTGGAAGAATACATACCTGAGTGTGCCTTCTGCTTTCTGTGACTTCAGAGGACATTGTGACCCACTGTTCCTCATAGTTGAAGTTTCTTCTGTTGCAGTTGACTGCAGTGATAGCAAGATTCCATTTCCCTGGGTGGAGTTTGAAGTCTAGGTCTCTTTCTCTCCTCCCACCTAAGTGTTCTTACATTGCCCCGTCACCTTGCAGATGCATTGTGTCCTCAAGACTACAGCTTCATTTTACCACTAGCCCAAGCAAAACTTGATGGAAACCCGTATGTTTTAGAGGGGGAAAATCATGGTTTAGAGCTAAAAGCAATAATGCTTTTTATTTTTATTTATTTTTATTTTTTTTTATGAATACTCTTTCTTTTGCAATAATGCTTTTTAAATCTATGGAAAATTGGTATTTTCTACCTCGATGCACAGTAATATTGGTAAAGCTAATCAAGTGTTAGTTATATGTAAATTTTACTTGTATAATAAAGTAATTAAGACTTTTTCTATCATATTAGCTTTTTCCATATTCTCCTGTAGCTGTACTTTCTAAATTGGAATGAGTAATGCTGTTGATTTGAAACTTAGTGAGCGATGGAAAAATCGCTCTATAATTTTTGCCTGTTGTCTGACTGTTTCGTCCTTGACAAGTGATGTGTCACTGTTGTAATATTATGATATATTGCTCATTACTTCAATTACCTTTGTCAGAGTACATTGAGGTTTTATGCTGGAGATGTGTGCGCAAAGTAATGAGTTAGAGAATTTTGGTTTGTTTTCATTGAGTATCGATAAAATACATGGCTGATTGTATAAAAGATGAACAAATCTGATTATTTCATGATGTATATTTCAGGAGCACATAAATCATATTTTTAACTGAAATACCTTTTGAAATATATTTTCAATTGTCACCTTAAGATCCTACAAAGAAAACATTTGTAGATTTCTGGAGATAATTTTATGAATCTATTCAGAATCTATAAATCGTTTCACTTGCTCACTTTATCTGTAATAAAGTTCATCAGTGTAAAGTCACATGGTCTGTCTTAACCAGGACATGCAACTCTTCTGCTTTATAGATTATGTTAAACTGTTTATATGAGGGTAAATATTTTACTTTATTCCATTTTATTGACATGTCCAAAAGTCTGTGCATTATTGTATCAGTTTCAGTTTTCACTGCCCTGGAGGTGCTAAGATGTGCAGAAAAATAGCCCAAGAATATCTAGTGGGAAGGTACCTGTTGTCAGTGACCACTATCCTTAAAGGGCTTTGCCTCTTCCACCATAGATCACTCTCTCCCATTAGGTTGTGTCTTTCAGGAAGGGAGGGACCAAGGAGAAAACCCTTGGCCAGAATTCGTCACCATCCTCCCAGTGCTTACTATACCTCCTCCTCCTGGCAGTCAGTCCCCATCCAGCTCTGTCCCCATCAATAGTCCCCCTTTTCTTTCCCATCTGTGGTCTCCCTTCCCTTCCAGAAGCTCTCCCATGCCTCAGCCTGACTCTCCTGGGCCTCAAAGTCCACTTGTTGGCTCTGGCTCCCTTTCTGGCAGTTTCCACATCAGCAGTGGGGACAATATGTTCCTGGCATCCAGAATGAAGCACTCAGAATATGCACTCCCCATAGAGGCATCATATAGCTGGTGATTGGGCCTATAATACCATTAGTATGGATTAAACGATTTTTTTGCAGGCTATTGCAAACTTCGCCATCTGGTATATACTGTTTTCTTGGGACTCTATTTTCTAAATTAAAACAAAACGAATTACAATTGTACTTTTGTTATGCTCTTCATGATGAAATTGGGTTGGATGGAAATGTTTTTATCTTTTTCCTTGACTTTTTTTCCCAGGAATTGTACAGATTCCAAAGTCTTTACCATGTTATTTGATTGGCTTATTACTCAATATCCAATAATGAAAAAATATTTTTACATTGTTTAGAATATCCATTTGGGATATCAGAAGGGATGGGACTGTTTTAAATGGTAAAAATTATATGAACCAATGTATTTTAAAGAGCACACATTATTTCATAAAAATAAGGCTTATGCCACATCAAATATGCAGTCTTGGTTGAAATATAAAATTATGTTCTTTTAAAGAAAGAAATAAAGAACTTGAAATTTGCTCACACTTATTACAAAAGATTCTATTGTCTAAAACAGCCAGAGAGAGTATGTAAAGAATGAGAGCGATTATGTCATAGTCTGTGTGTATGTAATTTCTTTCATCCAAAAAGAAGTAACTTGCTCTGTGATTAACATAACATGAGAAAATTTGTGTTGCCAAATCCTCCTCCTTCCAACTCACTCTACTTACTCCAATCCCTTCTCAAACATACACAATGGAAATTGACAAGTACGTTTTCTCTCCTCTATACTTCTCTTTTTTTTAATTCCCAAAGTAAATATGAAATTTGATTAAAGAAATGTTGCTTAAAAAGAAAATGAGCAAACTATTGCAAGGATACTATCTACCTGAAATGCAAGAAAATAAAATACAGTTCTTTTGCAAAGTATAATTAAAGGATGGAGCCAGGAACTTTTTCCCACTGCTCCATCACCTGCACTGTCAGCCATGTTAACATCACCATTTGTAGCACTGTCTTTGTTCTCCTGCTGTGCACAGATGTGATGGCAAAGATTACTAGCCATCAGAGATCCTCTGAGAAAGAGTGAATTCCACATTGTAGGAAGAGCTATTAATATTTTAAGCACTGTCAACTCTTCAGGGGTTGAGGTATTACATCACTATTTATACGATAAAATTTGTTACTGATTGGAAGGTTTTAAGGGTTTTAGCAGCCTGATAATTAAGTAGGAGATATAATTATAATAATGCAATTAATGTGCATTAATAGGTGGACTTTTAAATGTTTCTGATATTGTCTGATCCAAAAATAACTACTTGATTAACTAATTTGTCTCCTAAGAAATATGTCTATGTAGGTCAGGATGAGATCATTTGGGGGGAGGGCACGAAATCTACTCATTTGAGAATTCTAAACCTCAACAACAACAAAAAAATCTCATTTAAGAGCTGGAGTCAAATTATATGGTCATTTTAGTTCTCAGAATTCAAAGCATAGATGGCTGGAATCATGTGTGTGATAATTCTAGGCTACTCTCAATAAATAATACATGTCATTTCTGCTTCACTGAGGCTGTCACTTACTGCTCTAAATGACTTTCAATGCAGGGCCCAGCCTGCTCTCCCAGAGTGCACTTCAGCTCAATTCCAAACCTGAAGGGTCCTTCCAGTTTCCAGCCAGCTACCATAGCAACCAGACCCTGGCCCTGGGTGAGACAGCCCCATCGCTCCCCGCCCGCAGCACACAAGCCCGAGGTGCTGGCCAGAGCTTCAGCCAGGTATGTGTGAGAATGGGGCCCTCTGCTGTATTGGTCGGTGGACTCCCAGGGGACAGTCCTGGAGCAGAGCTGTGAGAAGGCCACCGGGACCCCTCCTGCCTTCCTGTGGCATGCCCCACAACTTCCTAAAGACGCCTTTGGTGCTGTGAGTGAAGGAAATGAATAATAAAATACCATTATGAAATAACACTGAGTTGTAAACAGGCGTTCTTTAGGAATTTCTGCGAGGTGCTCATGCTATATTTACACTGTATATATTTATCTGTGTGGATATGTGAATATGTGTCCTTTCTATTTCTGTGTCTATCTGAGATATAAAGATTGCATATGTTCTGCTTTTGTGTGTGCACCTGAAACAAATTTTATTCTCCTAAAAAAGCATGAAATTATTCTTTGGGTGACTCATGTAAAGAAACGTAATGCCGATGCGAAATCAAGTATGTAGAACTGTTTTGAAGATAATTGTGATAGTTCAGGAATAGTTACACTTTGTCAATTTTTTTAAATGTGCCCTTAGTTATTCCTTTAAGGTGGATTTTTGTTCTTATAGTTTCAGTGCACAGATTCATTAACTGCCATTCAAACCAGCTCCAGGTTAGTAGACATTAATAGTAGCTACTAATCTGATTTTTTTCCCCCCACAAAATGTGTAAATGTTGTGCTAGATCCTGGATGGATGGGTGGCTGGATGGATGGATGGTTGGATGGATGGGTATATAGGTAGGTAAATATTTTGTTTTGATAACTTTAGAGTTCAAGATATATTCTATCAACCTAGAAGGGGTAATGTGTTTTGTTTTAAGCTATTTTGAACTTATTTTCAGCAGCATAAGACCCCTTTAAATCCCTTGATTTTAGAATGAAGAACCCACAGCTCCAAAAGCAATCCCTTCAGCTGGCTAGTTGATTTCATCCCTTCTGCATTTATTGGGTGGTGCATATGCTATCTAACCAACCACTGGCTCCTATAACAGCCAAACCTCTCTTTGTCACCAGTTTATTGCCATTATTCCATTCATGTGCCTTTCCAACTAAACTGAAAGTTACTTGGGGGCAAGACCATTTTCATCTTAATCAGCAGCTTCTTGCCATCCACACGGCTCTCAAGTAATGTCTACTGACAGAGAGGAGGCAAGACAACTTAGAATGGCATAGTACAGTCACTATGAGATGCCTACTTAGAAGACATGGATGTAAAGGAAGCAAAACCTGAAAAGTCTCAGTGCATTTCTATTACTAACTTATTGCCCAGCAATATATTTTAAAACCAATTGTGTTATTTAAGAAAAACACTTGTCTGTTGCTGCTTTGTAACTTTTACCTGGTAATGCTGAGCTATAGAATATGTGGTTAAAAGGGAGTGGAAAATAAAAGATTTACTGAGAAGATAGGCCTGTCCCTTTTTCTTTATCTGAGTAACCTGCAAGAGTAATTTCATGCTTTTTTGTGAGAATAAAAAATTGTATTTAATTTTTTGAAATTTTTTGAAAACAAGTGAGATACAGCCATTTTTACCCTGATATCCAGCCATACTTCTAAATTTAAGAAGCCACATTCAGAAATAAGGCACATTTTAATACTCAAATTAACCTATGACAACTATGGACTTAGCTTTTACCAATTTCTAGACATGTACCTAGAAAAACCATAGTTCTACTTTTCTCATCAATATCTAATACCCCTGTAATTTGAGTTGAAAACATTGAGTCAACTTAAAAGAAATCTATATATTCCTTATGAAAATATGGAATGAGCATCATGAAAATGGAAATATCAATATAAAATGCAAAATAACTTGCACTTACCCACCTCCCAGGTAATTGAATGATGCCAATATCTTTGCCTCCAACTTATCACCTTTGTTATACCCCAACTGTGAGCATCCTGTAAACCTGTTCACACTTAGCTGTGCAGTAACTAGCTGCAAAATCAAAGCTTCTTTATAAAATTAACAGTTTCCATTTATTGAGCACCCAGAAATAATGTTTTACACACATCCTCATAGTTAATCTCCCCAAAAGGGCGATATTACTATTTGCATTTTAGAGACTTGGAAACTCAAACTCATCACATTTAAACAAACTATGATGCCCCATTTTAAGGCAGAAATAGTGATAATAAGAACAGAATCTTGACTGAGTTGAAATATGATCATTCTAAAAGAAAGTGTTTCATGGAGGTCTTTTAAATTAATAAATGTATTTATTAAATTGATTGGGGTGACATTGGTCAGCATGAACATATAGGTTTTAGATGTGGGTTTCTAAAGTCACAAGATCTTTATATTGCAACATGTGCCCACCACCCAAAGTCTAGGCTTTAATATCTACACTAATAAAAGAATAAGATGCAAATTGACTGTACCTTCATGATACACACCAGCCAATCAGGAGTGAGTATGCAAATTAACCCAATAAAGATGACTGTTTAACTTGCATAAACAGGTACCCAGCAGCTAGGACACTTGCCTTCTGCACCACCCCAGCCTCTCTGGGCCTCTGGGCATCTTGGGAAGGCAGAAAGGCAACTCCAGCCAGAACAAAGGTGGTGCCAGCAGCAAGGGGAAGGAAGGCCCATTCTTGCATGAATATTCGTGCACCAGTTTGAATAAAACTGGGTCACACAAATTGTCATAATATATATAATCACTTCAACCAAATGAATCTAGAGTTTGAACCTATTAAGAGGTGTATAAAATGCGGACAAGCAATGTGGTGATGTATCTGTTTTCATGTTGTGGAAATCCTCCTTGTGAGAGTCTATCTTCCACTAACTTCCATGGAGTAAAACGTTAGAAACTCTAATTGATAAGATTGGGCCTCACATTTAAAGTCTGCTTTAAAGTTTAATCAGAAAGAATACCTAAGTTGTAAAGATATCAGAGCTCAGGGTTATAATTTGGAGGCATCTATAAATGTGAATGTTCAAGGTGATAAGTTTGAGGCAAATGTTATTGGCATTACTCACTGGAGGTGGGTAGGACCTAATCTAAATACTAAAATCTAATTCACTTGATTCATAGGAGTGAAGCTGTTGGTGACTATCTGAGTCCTGTTTATTTCAGCTAAGTGATTGATGGCTATCAGTACCATGATTTACTAGTATTTTCAGCTTTAGTGTGCTGCAGTATGAGATGTGTGTTTTATTGAATTATAGGACCTGTGACTTCAAAATTGTCAGAGAAATGCTTAATATGTAAGCATTTTTTCACTCAGCAGTTAGCTTTATACCTTGAAAACAGAGAGGCCATATCCCATTCCAGTAAGATCTTCTTCATAGGATTGTCTTGGGAATCCCTTTATTCCAGTTATTTTGTAGAGTCCTGTGACTCATTCTTTTCAATATTCTGATGTGTGTTAAAGCTCATTTCTTTGAGTCTAGATTAATTTTCAGAATATCCTGTAGTCATAAAGTCCCAAAAAGGGCTAGTAAATGTCAAATTATGACAGTAGATGTCAGACCAATTTAATAAGGTCAATAATCAACAGAAAAACATTTCATTGTTTGGTTTGAAGAGTAGGTGTAATTCTAAAGCAAGTGATTTTTCAATCTCAGTGATTTTCTCTCATTCATAAATCACATTGCAATGTAATTTCAAAGCAAAGCAATATCACAAATGTTCAATGATGCTAATTTCAATTTTTAAAAATCTAGTTTATTCAACATAATCATCGTTTTGGTTATTAACACCAGGCTCTATGCCAAGCCCTGGCAATATGTGTGCAGCCCACATTGCCCCATTGTATCAATTTGAATAAAACTGGGTCACAAAAAGTGTCATAAAATATTTGTTCTCTTGCATTTCCCTAACTAAAATCCTTGAAAGTCATTCTCCTTAGGCTCTAGGATGAGTTTGTGGGGCCTGGCTAGAGGAGAGAGCATATAAGATTCTTCCCAAGAACCCCAAGGCCTTTCCCGGAAGTAATAGGAGTCCATATATATCTATTCCTCTACGTGCTCTCAGCAATCTTCTCAGCCATCCCTTTCCAGCATTTAATAATCTGTTGGTTAGCCCTCCATTCTTCCCTTCCTTCTCTAGGCCAAAACAGTGTGGCTGTTTTGCGGTGCCTTTGTCAAAATAGAGCTAGTTTTTCCACTACATTTATGTGTCTCTGGGTTATTCTTTAAAGCATCCAGAGTATTTATTGTGTGCCTACTGTATGCCATGAGCAAATATATCCGTTTGGGATGAAATAGTAAAAAATGGGACCCTGTCCTCCAAGAACTATTCTAGAATCAGTGGTAGGGACTCAGAAAATTAGCACAGTAAATAAGTCAATTGCACAGTTTTTTAGATGACAGTGGTTCCTATAAGGAGGAAACAAATGCAGAATAGGATGAGTGGGACTCAAAGAGTAGGATGGGTGTGGCATAGGGCCTTATGGAAAAGGTGACATGAAAGAGAAGAGGGAGGGAGCTGAGGGACAGCAAATGCATGGCTCCTAGATGGGGTGGCCTGACTTGCTGACTGGACAGCAAGGAGGTCAAGGTTGTTACAGTAGGTGCAAGAATGGTGAGGGGATGGGAGACCCAGTCAGTCATTGTGTGGAGCTTGTGTTTTACTGAGATTGAAATGAGGGGCAGGTAGAGAATGGTAAGCAGAGGCACAACATGGTCCAGCATATATATTGAAATCTGCATTCTGTCCTATCACATGTAATAATACCCTACAGCAAGTGGCATGTTAGCCTGTTTCTTCCCATCAGATTGCCTTGCTGCAGGAGCAGAAACTTACAGAATTAATCTCCATATCCCAAGTAACTGGCTCAGGGTTCACCAGATGCGCATCAGGTTCCTCTAACTCCTGTCTTATTCTTTATAACCAAACTGCCAAAGGCCGTGGGGGGTGGGGTGAGATGTTAAGGGAGTTGGCTCTCCCCCAGGCTCTGTCTGCTTCCACTTGCATTCCGTTTTCTATGGATTCCATGAGATGCTGGATGTGAAACGCCTGGCACAGAGCAGTCACTCTAAACACTTTGGTTTCCCCCCATGTCCAAACA